AGCTGACTAAGCCTCAATGTTTCCTCAAGAATTTTTCTAACCACTTTTTGTGGAAGTTCAGGGATCACTTCACTTCCAGCGTTATTGGATTTCAGCTTGACACATTTTGTTTCTGAATCTATGATTTCAGAACTTTATTAAGAGGCTGCTCACGTCACTAATCACAGATACCGAGCGGCTCTTTGTAACTAAGCAAAGGGAAAGGAATTAAAGCCAGTTTTCCTCTACCAGGTGGCCGCTCTCTTACTGGGGGAACTACAGCTTGTTTGATGTGTCTTTTGACCCTGTGAAATTGCAGGAGTTCATTTTGCTCAAATGATAAATCTTTATGAGAAACATGAGCTGGCAGGCTTTTGAAAATGTGCTCTGTGATGTTAAGTTGAAATGGATACCCCCTGTCAGAGCAGCCACAGCAGAGGTAAAGAGAGATGTTCTTTGTTGCAGATGAATTTAATGCCACTGACTAACTTGTTTTTCTTTAATCTAGCAGGCCCTGCTGTGGTAAAATCACTCTTTTGTAAATAGATGGTTCAAGCTTGTTCATAACTTGTTCGCAGTAATAAATAGTCTTTAACTTGTACTCAAGTTCCTTTTAACAGAGCTGAACTGAACTCTTTCCAGAGGTGGACATTTTAAATTTAAGCTTTAGGTTTACTGTTGGCAACCATATTTAGTTACTGGAGCCAGAAATCTTAATTGGTGAAAAAGCCTGAATGAACAACACACTTCTCACTCCTAACTCGCATACTGCCATTTGGTCAGCAGCTGTAGGTATCCTTCTTGCCTCATTTTTGGATGTGCAGGGCTCTGCTGTCAAGTTAAAAAATAAATATGCAATGTGCAGTTAGAAATAATGCTTGGTTGGTAACAGTTTCCTAGATTTAGGAAAAGTTTGTAACTTAGGTAATGTACCTGACATAACTTAAAGGTCCAGTGTGTATAAATTAGTGGCATCTAATGTTGTAGTTGCAGATCACAACTCCCTTGCATCCTATATAGAGATGTTGGCTGGGTAGAGCCAGTGTTTGGTTTGTCCCTTCTTGGCTGCTGTAGAAACATGGCGGTTCAACATGGCAGACCCCATGGAAGGCAACCAGTGACATTTGTAGACAAAAACACCTTATTCTATGGTAACAAAAAAACAACAACTCTTATATTCAGATGATTATATACTAATGAAAACATACATATGAATATTATATTCCATTTCTGACAAGATATCCTCCTCGATATTATACACTGGACCTCTAAATACGTTAGATAAGTTAACTTTTGTAAAAAAAAAAGTTAGATTTTGGTTTCAAATGGACACGTTTGAAACCAAACAGCCACCACCACAGTTGTGACACCTGTCAATCAAGCGTGTGCAGTATTGTGGCTACAGTGGCTCATGTTGGTGTACCTTTTGCCATTATTTGCTGAAGTTACATTTTGGACTAAATCAATACCACTACTACTGCCAACTATTATTTTGAGAAATCCTGCCGACCTCCTGTTCACAGACTGATGATGTCATTGTCTTTAGTATTGTTTTTTGTTATGTGGCTGAACTGAGGAGGAACTGGCAAGTTGTTCTTTTTTATTATGTGGGTTATTTACTCAGCAGTTAGGCTGTTTACCTGAAACTAAACATAATCTTTTCTTCACATTTCACATTTATTTGTAGTACATAATCTCATACAAAATCAATTCAAAATGCTTACCAAAATGAAAAGTTGTCATAGAGTCCTAAGAACTGAGGATTGATAACCTGGAAGCATGTCAGATATACTTTATAACCTGGGGCCAGATCATTAACAGTTTAAAAGACCAGGAGGAGAATATCGAAGTTAGCTCTGTGGGGATGGTTAAGAATTGGAGTGTTATTGTTTTTTTTTTATAACAACACTTATGTTAATTATCTTAACACTTAAATCTTAACACTTAAAAACACTGTATAACTACAAATTGGGTTTATTTACATGAGCAAATATGTTTTTGAAGAAACATCTGGCATAGCCTATCCTATTCCTCCAAATGCAGGAAGGGCTATTTTCCAAAATCAAGTGCCCATGAGTGGAAGCAGTAACCACCATGTTGCTACAGTAGCCCAGAAGAGAAAAAACAAACACTGGCTGTAAGGCCGTTGGTCTTTTTGCACGTTTTCGGAAGGGGAGGGGGAAGCAAGGGAGTTGTCAGCTTCTCTGATAAGCAACAATGACCTAAAATTCATTAGTCATTATAAGTAATAACAGTTAATAACATATGAAATTAGTCTACATAAATATTCATTTGTAAACACTGTCAGTGACATCTGTACTTGCACATATGCACTTTCATATCTTTAATGTAATTCATTCTACCTCCATGGTGGTCAGATAGGCATACAGTTTGTCTTAAGGTAATTTGGATTTTTAACGTTTTCTTCTTTTCTATTCTTTTTTGAGATTTTATCTTTGTGATTTAGATGCAAGGTGAAACAATAATTTGTGCTCCTATCTCGATCTCTGCCTTTCACATTCCAAGTTAATGGAAGTAATTATAGCTAATTTATTTTGTAAGCTCTGGACATTTAATTGTCAGGAAAATATGTGCCCATACTGTGCCCCTTTTGTTCTTTGCTTGTGAGTTTTGTTCCTGAGAGAAACCCCCCTGAGTCCAAACTTAGTGTTTTTTTTATTTTTCCTTCTGGAGTTTAAAGCTTACCTGCAGCTCCATTTTTGGAGCAAAGATCATGACCCCTGGAAAGCCATTAAAACCTACTGTGTAAATAATCAAGTTTTTGGAGTTCATAAATCAGTTTCAGCTATTAATGGTGAAACCTCAGATGTACCAATGTGGAAATCTGGATCTTGAAGCTGGAGATTTTGCATGGACATTGTTAGACTTTCTGAGCTGTAACCCTTCTTTTGTGTGATCATTTACTTTTTATTTTTTTAAAACAGTGAAATTATGTTCATGACACAGTACTAGGTGTATAAGGAAAGAAGCTCTGGTGCATACTAAAGCAACCATGTTCATTAGTCTGTTATCATCAGCTATACTAATAGGAATGCTTCATTGTCTCCCTGCAGTGGAAAGGTTGTGTTTGTTATGTGGTTCAGGTGAGACTGAAGACAAATAATTTAGCAGCTGGGGACCTTTTAGTCTAATGTCCTCTATCCCTGCTGGCTTATTCCTGTTGGATAATCATTAAAGCCTTTTTTGTGGCACATTTTATTTGCAGAGCTTGGGTGCAGAGACTGGGACCCTGGTTTACGATGTAAGAGCAATTATGTATGCAAGTCTTAGTTGTTTTTAAAAACGTTAATTTACCACTACAACGGCATATAGAGTCTGACCTTGTTTCCCAGAAATTTTGTATAATATTCTTCTCACTAAAAGTAATTGCTGCCTGTATTATGTTCAACATTTTTCCAGTCTATGTAGTGTATTGTCCTTGTATAGCACAGAAATCTGAGATAGGTGGTGTGTGTTCAAAGCACAGGACTTTTACCAATCTTTAAAGGAGTTCATATCCAACACCCTCCATGTGGTCAGGCTAAGGCTACTAAAGCACTGGTAAAGGTTGGAGAAAGATTGTGTATTCAGTTGAATAAGATGTGAAGTGCCCTTGATCCAGAGGTAAAAGTTCCATTAATTTTCTCCATAGACAATGTTGTGACTCAAAGTTAGAGCTCTTCAAGTCCTAGATGGACATAAAACTCTCTGGTTGAATCATCAGTACAAAGGATGTTAGAACTTTGTTAGAAAATATCTGCTTCTATAAGTCTGTGGACATAAAAACAGAATGTGAGACATTAACTACAACTCCCAATGTGCATTTTGGTAAGAACTATCCAATCACAAAGCTTAAAGGTCGGCCATGCTCCATTAACTGTGGGTAGAAGCTAAATATAATTATATATAACCATCTGCAGCTCTGGGTCAATTTGAATCAATAACTATGATGTGTCCAAATCTACAACAGTTCTGATTGCATATATACATTATGCAGAGAACAGACACCATAGTACATTTATTATCTAGTTTGACATTCACTCAGATTGCTGACATTTAGCTAGCTCTGGCTAACATATTGATCACCTCTTCTTCACTGCTCAAAAAAACCCCTAGTTGCCAGCGCCCAATGGCAGCACAGCACACATGACTCACGCTACTTTGCCCCTGATTGGCTAGTACGCATTGCCTTCATTGGTTTGGGTTGGTTAGATTGGTTAGGGTAAGAAGGGTAAGCTAATCATTGTAGGGCGGGTCATGATTTCATCATACTGGGAAAAAGATTTGTATGTGATGCTGCTGGGTCCCGATTCGGCGGTTAATAGATTTCGTGGTATTGGATCAGTACCTGGACGCGTAGTTGCCGATACCCAATCCTGCTTGTTAGGCTGTACTGGAGAAATTGATGATACTGGTATTGGCATTGGAACAAAAATTTCTATAATGATCAAGGTTTTTTCTGTTTGGAATGAATAAACACCACTCCTACAGGAAAGGTTTGCTATGTTTACAAGAAGTTATGACCTTTTCCAACAAATGTTTCACTGCAGTGTATGTGCCGTCCTTAGTCCATGTGGTCTGGGCACTTGTATGTGACTGACATAAAAAGTTCCCACATTTTTTGAAAGTTAAGATTTTTAGATTTTATATAAATTGATTATTTCAAGTATTCAGATACACTGAGTAACTCCTGATGCCTAAAACTTTCTGAATTTCAGATTTTTGGACTGAACCACTGTGAAGCAGCTGTGTTGTTCTCCTGTTATTGACCTAGCTGCCAAATGTGTTTGCGCTGTAGACTCTAAAAGCCCAGTTTGACCCATCAGAGCCATTTCCAAACAAACAAACCAACCCCCGTTCCTCTGCTGACGCCAGGTAAGGCATGAGGGAGGGGTCTGTCTCACCTGCAAACCCTAAGCATAGTTTTCCGTCAGAGCAGAGCCCGCCTCTCAGCCTCCAGCTGAAACCCAACACCTGTGACATCATGCACGTAGACACTGCTCTGGCTGGCCGGCCCCGCTCTCAGAGCTGCAGGCTTCTCATTGCTCTTCACTCCCAGGAGAGATCAGCAGCTCTGACCCGCGCTGCCAGCTGCAAGGAGCTGACCTGCATTCAGATCAATCACGCTGCTGCAGAGCTCTGAAGCCACTACCTGTGGCTGACCTTAGCGGCTGCACACCTCCCCCCAGGCTAAGACGGGAATTGTTTTATGGGCTTTGCAAGGGAATTGTTCTGTCACTTGTGAGGAACAACGCTGAAGGCTGCAAGCAGTAATTCTCCTCAGGATACTCTCCTTTTCTCCATGGAGCTCGGCACAGGTAAGCACTCGCCGTTCAGCAACTTGTGAAGTTTTAATGCTGAACAGCCACCTGCTCACATGCCTTTTGAGACTTTTTATTTTGTCATAATAACTTTGAAAGTGGCTCTCAAAATATCTATTCATGGCCTCTCTGAATATCATCCTGTAATGAGTTTAATTGTTGGATTCATGGATTGCACTTAACAACAAAAGACCCTGATGAGTAGTTTGCTACAGATGAGGGTATGTGCACTTACACACACATGCACGCTCACGCTAATAGCAAGTAAGGGAGATAGGGAGAAAGAAAAGAATGAACAAACAAGACAGAGTACACTGAAGACCTCGCTTTGCCTGCAGGAGTGAAACTTTGAGACCAGAAACATGAAGAGTTCCGCTGTCCTTGTTTGATGCTTGGTGTATGAGGGCAAGCGTCTGCCATAAGAGTTCAGCTAAAACAGATTTTCACGAATAAACTCTAGCGGTAACAGTTTTAATATTTATTTTATTTGTCTTAACAAAGTTAAAGTGCTTTAGGGGATATTAACATATCCACAAATACTTAAGATGAACATTACATTAGGCCTGTGAGCAGAAAACTAGCTGATGAAGTAATAATACACTATACAAGTTAAATAAATTCATAACTCAGATTAGACCATACTCTAATGCCTGAAAATCTCAGGCAGGTTAATACAGACTAACAAAAAGGAGTATGCACACATTTCAAGGTGAAATGAGGGCTGGTGTTGCTAAACAGTTTGGACACGGCAGGGCTCCAATGTCCACTTATCTATCACACTGAGGGGACGTTTTGAGCACAATCAGACCAGTTCATTGTTTGTTTCAGGTTGATATAGTCTGCCAGATCAATATTTGAGTCTATAAAATATCAGACAATAGTGAAACATGGCCAAGGTGATGTCTTTAAATGTCCAAACCACAATTATATCTATTATGATATGATACAGAAAAACATGCCAATCCTCACATTTGAGAAGCTGGTACCAAGTTTTTTTATATTCATAAAAATAAATAAGTGAGTTAATTTTCACTTATAATTGTGATTAATTTTCTGTTGACTAACTAAAGTTCTAATGTAGTTAATTTGCCAGATAGCCCTTTACATAGCTGGTCAAGTTTTTACTTTCTGTCCCTATCCAGGAAAGCTGAGCCCAAATTATCAGACTGAACTGGAAGCAAACTTTAGAGGTAGCACAATTGCAAATCAGTGACACAGACAGATGCATATTGACTCTGGGTGGCACACATTGAGGTCTTTGTGAGCTGTAAATATTTCAGCTTCAGCATAAATTACACTTTACCTAAGGTTTCGTGACTCCACTTAAAAAAAACATTTTGTGTCCAGTCACACCAGAACTTGGTGCAGGGTAATTCAATTGCATGTCCTTGTAAAATAGGTGATTCCAGACTGCTTGTGCTCTCAGTCAGTAGTCAAACTAATAAGTTAACATAGTTAATTCAAGAGAACATCTGTCCACTCCTCTCTCATGTCTGACCAGCTATGCTGTTTTGTAGAGCAGTTAATTCTCAAGCAGAGGAAGGTTATGGAAAGTTGGACAGTTGTTAACAACACAAGACAAATTTAAAACCTTTTACAGACAGCTTGAACACCAACATACTGCAGCCACAGCAGCTGCACAGGCAACAACTCTAAAATAAGACACATTCATATCAGGGTTCCTCACTAACGGTCATATCATTTACTGGTAACCATTGTATTTACTAGGTTTTACCAGTTTCCTTTTTTAATGAGGCAGGGTTCATGGTGAAGTGACACAGGTTTATTACAAGTAGGTGGTCAGTGTTTCCACTCTACGTTAGCTCCCCACTGCTGATTTTTCTGTAGTCTCTCCGCGAACTGTAGTGTTCTTTTAAACTAGGTTTACGTAGGCAATCTGTGTCCTTCTAAAGTAAACTTTTAACCTTGTTTTGTGCTTCTTTTCTTTGTAATTAATTTGTCAAATTTGTGACTACTTGTGGGGAAAATACCATATTCCCCATTAAGATTGATTGATTGAAGGTCCAGTGTGTAGGATTTAGTGGCATCTAGCAGTGATTGCAACAGACTGAAGACCGCTCATGTCTGTATGTGACGACCTGGGAGTAAGAATTGGTTGTGTTGTGTGTAGGAGAAACTACAGTGGTTGCAAAACTTGCAGAAAATGTGACACGTCATCTACAGCCAGTGTTGAGTTCTGGGCTACAAACCATCCTAAATATTACACACTGGACATTTAAGTATATCTTGTTTGATTGATATTACTATAAATATAATAAATAGATGGATGGAGTAAAAAAAATAAAGATTTGGACAAATTAAGCTTTCCTTTACTCTGAAGAAGTTAATCCTATAAATCCTACTCTTTGCCAGATTAGTGGTGTGAACTTGGTGTCCTGTTGTTTTGGCACTTGAATGTTGATGTTCAGATCATTTTTAAAGGTTTATGTGTGAATGGAAAACTTTAAATGCATTATCTACTGTTAAATTACCCTCAGTAGTATTTTGCAGAATCAAAGAGAAAGCATTGTAAATAGACTTGTAGAGCCGTGGAAGTGGAACAAAACAAGAGGTCGGGCAGAGGAAAAGCAAATTTCCCTCTCCCACTCGGTTCATGTGGGCCAGTGTTACCCGTTGCAGGTCACCACCTCATCACTGCTTTTTTATACCCCACCACATGTTGCTTTTGACCCCAGCCTTGAGAGCTTCCCCCCTATTCCTCCTCCGTCACCCGTCCTCCTAGTGCTCAGCCGCTCTTGCTGGAATCTGAGAAAGGGCTTTGCTCACGGCAGGTTAATTGCCTCTGAGATTCCTGCACTAATGGAGCTAATCCTGCCTTTGTGCAGTCTGCGCTCCAGATTTGAGCTTGTTTGTCAGGTTATTGTGTGAGGTTGCATGTATTAATTGAATAGCATCGAGGCTCTGTGTGCTCTTGTCTTTCTGATGAATACTTCACAAGCAGCTCAGGGAGGTGTTTTCACCGGGATACAAAACCACTACTAAAGACATCCTCTGGGTAAATATATGCTTGCACACATATGCATCCTGGTGACTGACATCTGTGTGAAACCTTTTACCACAGCTGGATAGAGATCAAGCTGAAGTTGCCATTAACAGTGGTAATTCCGTTGACTTATGAAGAGAGCATTTTACTGTACTCCCTCACTCTTTGATGTAGGAATTCAAAGTCCCTTCCCTCCACCACTAGCTTCAGAAGAAGCTTGAAATTCATGGATTTTTTTACCATTTTATTTTCGTGCCTCAGTTATTTAGGGTGTCATCCATAACTGGGATCTGTGTGGAACTTAATCCATCACATGTCCCGCTCTTTGTGGACTTACATTGCAATGTCTGCAAGTTTTTTTGTTTTGTTTATTCTCTTCCTTTTCCTTATATTTTTACAGTTAATTTAAGTTCTTTAGATAATTTTAGAAATGTATGATGTAGCAATAGGAAGCGATCCATAGCTGATCATAAATTAGATATGTAAATATTGTGCTTTGAGGTTCCTTTTATTGTATCAGCCTGAAGGGATCCTCTTTTGCTGTGATATGCAGCCTTCAGAGGCCAGTTACAGGCTCCCTGCAGCATCTTGTCAGACTCTGCTGCTCATCAAGGGGCCTCTCTGATTCAGCAGCTGCAAAGAAAAACCTTAAAGGGATTGTTCAGGGTTTTGTAAAGCCTATCTGATTCATAATGAACTTGAGATTCTTTCAAAGAGCTACTGCACCCTTGTCAATTTTAGCATTATGTCAGTCAGCTCTGATGAAAACCATTTCTTGTACAATGCTTTACCAAGTCACTCTATGTTGTGGCACAAATGAGATTTATACACATACATTTATTCTCAATCAGACACCAATTACCAGCTATTGCCTCTGGTGGCACATTAGCATAAAGCAACCCAAGTGCTCAGTCACATCAGAAAAGTGGCACAGCAACATGTGGTGGCTAGTTTTGTGCATGGAAACATGGATATGAAGAGGACAGCTGTTGGAATTGTGTCTCATTCAGTAGAGATTTCACCATTTGGGATTTTGCAGTTGTCTTTTCCCAGGGGTGATTCCACAAGGGGGGCCTAGGGTGCCACTGGCCACTTCTGAAATATGATCGGCCACCCCAAGTGTCACTCCATTATCCTCAGGAAGGGGGCTAAATATTGCTCCAGTTATCAAAGTAAGTTATCAAAGGGATCCCTTGACCTCATACCACCCCAGCACAAGTCATTGCCCCACTTGCACCACCCCAGTGCTTGTATTGTTTGGAGTGTGTCGTTCAAATTTGTGTGCCAAAAGCTACAGTGACCATGCACATTTTTTTTATTCTGATTTTGGTTCAGTTGTTTACATGGGCTGTTTATATAGGATGTCATACAGTCTGGTGTTTACATGCACCAACACATTTAATCGGAACAGAGGCGCTAAAGTAATACATTTATCCTTGCTTTCATTAAACGGGAAGTTAGTGAGGTCAGATCCACTTTTGTTGTTTTGGGATTTAACCTTGTATCTTCAAAGTGTCTTCAAAGTTTTCCAGCAGTTATACTTTTGGTTTGTGTCTGCTTCATCCATTTTATGTTTGAATAAGTCTTGGTCTACGTTTATGGCTCTTTATCCAGATTTGTATATCATATTATATTATATCATGTTATATAATATTATTATAAGATCCCGTCTGTAACCTTTATCATACAGACAGTACGGTATCTGTCCATATAAACAAACATATCACCACCTTGGATCTTACTGTATTTTCTGAGGCCTTTATACGGAGCATGTTATTCAGTTTGAGCTTTTAAACCGATTACAATCAGAATATTAGTCTCCATGTAAACAAAGCTAAAGTCGAACTCTAGGGAAAAGGTTGAAACAAATCACAGCAATTCCGTTGATATACATTAAGTTTGGTCCCAGATTTCAGCCCATTATTTACATTTAGCTTCACACATAACTTTTATAACAAGTTTTTACACTGTATGGATTAAACAAACAACATAA